CAAGGCCTTCTGGCTCTTTGCCACCAGTGGTGCTTCCCTCCATCCTTCACCCAAAGCCCCCCACCAGGAGGCTGAAGCAGACCCCAAGTCAGAATTTCTGTCCCCCTCCGACCCTTATAAAAAGACCCCAAAGGGGGAGACTCTCTGCAGCAACACAAGCGTTCATTGCATATATCCATCCCAAGGGTTGTAGTTTGAGGACCCCTGATTTAGTGCAATATTAAAAAATGCAAATTATTTTTCTACAGACCACCAAAATTTTCTAGCGGACCCCAGTTGGTGACCGCTGGTCTAGAAGATGACAAACAATTGTTGATGTTCTATTTACAACTACTTGTAAATAAAAGAGTGGAGGAGGTGGAGAAGAAATATAACCTGATATGATTTTTGAGAGCTAAGACCTTCTCAGGTAGCTGCTAATATCATTGTAAAGCTTAGCTGCTTAACTTCCAACTTCTCTACAACTTCTTCTCTTGCGGCACCTCTAAAAGCATCACGAGATGCTACGAATCCACACCAGGGGCTTCCCTCATGAACTACCTGTGAACAGGTAGGTCTCTTTGGCTGAGGCAATCGTGGATGTACTTGCAAAAGATACTTTTAATAGGCCTCAGGAGGAAGGACTTCACCCTGTCCCTTGTGTAAAAGATGCACGCAGCATCTCCCCAAACTGGTTTGGCCTCCCATGGATCCCACTTGTTGCTTGGAGACATGAGGCAGGAACAAGCATGAGTCCCCAGCCAGCTAGCCAGGTGCGCAGTGGGCCTCAGAGACTTGTGCAGGGTTAGCAGCCAGTTCAAAGCAACAAGATCAACAGCTGAGACATTAAGCCTGAAGGGCCAACAAAGGCTACAGAAGTCCCTTGGCTAGCTGAGGGCAATGGAGTCATGAAGGAGTCATGAGCTGAAGAGATGATAATACAAGTTCTACAAAAAGGAGAAGAGAATCGCAGGTCGGATCAGTGTTAAGTGGAAATAAGTTTCCTCCCCCTCTCTCACACACACACCTCTTTGATCACGTTACAAAAATATTAGCTGACTATGCTTCTCTGGGTATATGGCTCCAGTTATGATGGCTCCCTGCTGCTAAAGCTATTAAAGAAGCAGAGAATTCAGCCAAGTCTGTGGATTTAACGGCATTTCTTACAACCTCCCCCTCTACCTTTTCCTTCCATGCTCTTTCTGGGTTTTTCCCACAATCAAACCGTTTCCTATAAATCACCTGTGCCACAAATATGCTGTTTTCCAGAACAAAGTGCTCAGAGTAGCTGTGTATGTATGTATCGTCCCAAGATTCCAGAATCCCAAAAAGAGTTTGAGCTCACACACTTTTTACCTGTCTGTTGCTTGACTCTTGCTGACTCTGAGGTGAAGTCCCCATTGACTGGAAGCTTAAAAAAGAGCACAGAAACATGGAAATTACTTATTATGGATAAGAAATAGGAAGAAGTATGTGCTTAGGGCAGTGTTGCTCAACTTTAGTCATTTTCAGAGGTGTGGACTTCGAGTTCAGTTGGTTGTATACACATTAAATAACAATGGAAATCTTAACATTAAATAATGAGATCAAGAGTGAAACTTATAACTAATATGTAGTTCAGAGTTTCTATGTTGACGCCTGATAGCTCATTTTATGACTGCAGCAACTTATGACAGAATTCCAGTTCCAGTGTAGTGTAAGTTGAGGACCACTTTTATAAACGTTAAGTAACAATAGGAATCTTAACATTAAATAATTAGTTCAAGAGTGAAGCTTATAACTAATTTGTACTTCGATGTGAATTGTAATGGTTCTTTTTAAATTTATTTTATACTCAACTTTGGATGAAAAGTTAAATAATTGTCTGCCTGTAATTCTCAATGGCAATTAGTATTGATTTTTTTAAAAAAAGTAATTCACGTTATTTTCAATACTTTAAGCAATACTTTAAACATAATAGAATCTTAATAATTCTAATCATTTTATGTATACTTCATTTACTATTATTTCTGGAAGTTCTCCATTATCACTGATTCCCCAATTAAACAAATATACTAATTTTCTGCATTTACATCCTGCCTTTTCTTCTGAAAATTGAAGGAGACTTTTTTTAGATGTAGGACTGGAAATCTTTCCTTCCCAGTCAAGCAATTCTGTAAAATAGGCTAGATATGGAAGATATGGCTGGCTTAGAATTCCGCAACTCTGGGAGTTGAAGTCCACAAGTGTTCAAGTTGCCAAGGATGGAGAGCCCTGTCTTAATGAGCTCAACTGTCTATTTGAAGATGGTTCTCCTCATTTCTAGTCCAACTTGTTCAAAACTATAAAACAATTCTTCATGAATGCACCTTCAATGAAAGGGATTCATTGTTAATGAAGTGGGGTGCCAGATAACATAATTACATGCATGTTCCTCCTGATCTAAGAAGGTGCATTTTTCATCCTACTAGCTTTGGGTGGATGATTGCCAAAGATTTTGTTCTCCACGTATTTCGACGTTTCTATGGGCAGACTCAACATACGTTTGGTCTGATTCAGTTCCTAAAGATGTAGCCTACCTGCGGCTGTTTATCATAGGCTCCCCTCTGATCTCTGTGGGCAGACTGGGTCTCACTGGGCTGTATGGGCTGCCAGGTCGATACCCAGGAGATGAAGGACTGTAGGGGCTGGTGGCACGTGGGCTGATGGAAGCTGGGCTTGAGTAGGAAGATCTCACTGAATTATTACCA